AGGCAGTGCCTCTCCAGTGAAAATAGAAGTTAAAAATAAAATAATTTACTAGAAATTTAAATTATTTTGACTACTTGTGAATCGTAAATAACAATTTTTATACTATTTTAACTTTAATCATTTTTTTATTTGTTCAAATGTTGATTTTTTTGCTATAAATAATAGTGAACCAGTTTTAAATAAACCGCCGCGCCTTCACAGCTCTGGTAAGCAATGCGCAGGTTACACAGAAGCATCTTGCGCAGTGCGCTGGTCGCTGAGAGAGCTGAGATTTTTGAAAAGGCTAGTACGTAATTCAAAGTGTTTTTAGAACAGAGCCTAATTTCGACTCGAAATTTGAGTGGGGCACGAGGCCTATTTTTATTAATCTAATGAGAATTAATTTTTCAATTTGCCGGAAATACTGAAATCTGTCAATGTCAATTGTCAAATTTACAACGGTGTCTTTTGCAACACTCTAAAATTGCAAAAATGCAAAATGTAGTGTAGGTTTTTTTAGTGTGGTGTTTGGTTGTTGTCAAAATAAGTGAATATGTACGTCTTGAGTATGGATGTGTCTATGAAGAAGGTAACTATTAGAAATTGTTAGGTATCGTTTAGTTTAATAACAAATAAAGTTTCTCGACTTTCGTACGACAATAAGTTATATGCAAAAGATTTGGGAGCACCTCATCAAGACTTAAATAATATTTATTTGTATTACAAGGAAGGAAAGTGTATTTTTTCTTTACACAGATGGAAGTTACTGCTCGAAAGTTATCAAATGAATCAAATACGATTTGTCGACAGCAGTAACCACCCAGGAAGGAAAATACACTTTCCTCCAATGAAATATAATTTTTCCTACGATCCAGCAAGAAAAACTTCAATACTAACAATTTCTCTTAATATCTCAGTTTTGCCATTAAATCTAGTAGCATGTTTTTCAGTTTCTAAAATTTCTACCTCCCTGTGGGGTTTTATATATTTTATTGTAAATTTGACAGATGAGGGAGGTAATTGGCCACTTTTCTTTCTGAATATAGGGTGGAAAAACTTACTTTTTTAGTATCATTCGAATAGTATATTAAAGCACAAGTTGCAGAAGATAATCTATTCAAGCACAAATTTGAAATGAATTGTGAAGAAAGTTCGTCACTAAAATTAAATTAACGCCAACGACTTATTCCAGCACTCAAATGACGTCATTTGACTTAAAGTCAAGGACATATGTAGGGTAAATAAAATATAGTCACAAATGTAAATTTGGCCCCGCAAATTGAAATTAATAAATTTAATTAATTGTTCAAAAAAATATTTTTTTTTAAAAAACGTTAGTCGATTTTTGTATTTTTCTTTGTTGTTAAAAGTTATCTTTTCGTGGTCAGCTAAGCAAAGAATCATTTTTTAGTCGTCAAGACACGTATATTTCTATTTTTTATATAAAAAAAAATCTGTCTCCTCTTAATAAGACTACGAGCCGCCACTGATTTTTAGTTATGAACTGTAGAATCTGAAGAAATTGAATCTGAACCGACTGCTTTTCAAGATTTATTTAAAAAAAAAAAACACAAAAAAGGCAAACAGAACAATGACAGAAAGTTTGGTGTTTTCTTGGAGGAAGAAGTGTCTGCCCTAGAGACAACGTAAAAATAAGTCGCAACAAAACCCACTGAAACAAATAATTAATTCCTCCTGGCATTTGAGCAGTTTAAGACTTAATTTCAAAAAGCCGCCTGGTGCCTTTTGAACTCCATTTCCCAAATTTCCGCAACAAGCGTTTACTTCTTCCTCTCGCTCTTCTTATTCCGGTCGTGTCGTCAAAGCCCGACGTAAAATCCCTTGGGAGCCAATTAGTCGCAACGTTTGGACCAACATCGGGCCGTGTACGGCAATTAACTTCGTCGAGAGATTGTTTTACCTGAAAACATAAATCTCACTTAAAATTCAATTAAAAAGCGCGCACACATACGAAATTATGCCGGATCCCTCTCCGGTTTTCGATTTAATTTGAATATATTATCGAGTGGAGCAGGCAGTAATCTCTTAAAAAAAAACTACCAAAACTGAAATTTTGAGTTTCGTGCTCGATGAGAGCGATAAGACGAGTTTCACATTTCCTCTAATATGAAAATTAGCGTTTAGGTAAGGTATAAATCATCGGGGAGAAAAAAACTGTAATTTTTAATTATAAGGAGGGCAATTACTAGGAGAAGGTGGTTATTAAATACAAATAAAGAATATCGATTCGATCGTTTTGTGTAAACGCAGCTTAGGTCTCGATGCATTAAGTCAACAGGTGCATCCCAGACCCGAGCAGGTATCAAGGTGTCAAAAATGCGATCTAATCTCCACATTGTAATCTAATAGAAACGAATCTCTTGCCCTTTCACGAGATTATTTTCACATTAAGGACGTAAAAAGCAAAGACACGAACTGTCATTCGAGCAAATTACTCCAGTTAACACACTTTCATTAATATGTATCAAGGGATGAATTATTAATGTTTACCCTCATAATTAGTCGCTTGTAATTCAGTAATTACAAACTTTTCGACAGCGAAGGATTCAGACTAATGGGTATTTTGGGTCTGAACGAACCATAAATGTCGAGAAGTTCCATTTCAGCAGTCAAAATGTAGACATTTTATTTCAACACGACAAAAATTTATTATCTGGGGTCGTAAAAGCACCACATAAATAACCGAGTCTAATTTAATTAGAGACAGAGGTTTTGAGACAAAACCATTTTGTGTCAAATAAAACTGACATAATTATTTTGTCCAAAAACCAAATTTTTTGTAAAAAATGGCAAGCGTTTTTCTCGAACCAGAAGTTTTCAAAGCAACTCCAATCGCGTCTAAAAAAGTGAAATGTGGTGGAGATGCCGATTCGTGGACTAATTTTGGACCAACTGCCATTCAAGTACGCCTAACTCTTCAACTTAAACATATCAAATTGTCAAATGAGTGTCTACAATACATCGATTCTTATCTAGAGGCTAAAAAACGTATCAAACTTGTCTGGAATTTCAATAAATCGCAAGAAGAAATTATCTCTCCTCAAGTGATCGAATATTCAAAAGTCAAACTGGGTTCTAGAGTCCAATATGGGTTCGATGTTAATGAAGATTCGCTTGAGATGATTCGAGATAATCCAGTCATGTTTGAGCTTTATGCTACCAATGGTATCAAAGACGTGCTTTTGGGTGAGGCCAATCTCTACCTTGGGAACATATTAGAATTAATCAACAGACAAGAAATTACAAGAGTGTTGTTTTACAATGGGGTTATTGATTCTGTCAACAGTTTTGCTTATTTGACTTTGAGGTACAAGTTCACTTGTCACAAAAAAGATTTAAAAAACTTTAAAGAAACTGTTTCTAACTTGCAAAAGTCGCAAGGAGATACTACAAAGAAAACTTTCAGGCAGATTAAAGGAACCAACTTAAAGAAGGTTGAATCTGATGATAGTTTATTACGAGATTTAGATAACGTCCTCAAAACAACAAGTTCAGAAGATTGCAGAAGTTTGGAAAAGGAAATTAATTGTGTCGAATATGAATCTAGCCCACAGTATGTAAAATGTAAACCAGACTCGCTACTAAATGCTTGTTTATTAAAAAATACCGGGGAAGAATACAAACCGGAATTTTTTGTAACCATCTCAAATCTCCACTTTTTGGAAGGAAGTCTCCCAATGATAGACACCGAAGTTGAGCAAATTTACGTGGAATATAGTTTTCTTGGTCACAAAGGACCCGATTTTGAGACTCCTTTTAGTATACCCAAGGGTAAACCAAACGAAAATTTGGTTTTTAATTTTACTCAAAAATTTGAAATTGACGTAAATACAAATTATTGTAATTGTAAGAAAATAATCGAAATGATCAAAAATAAAGATGTTATAACGTTTGTCGTAATCAATGAACCGATTGAAAGACTAGATAAGCCGATACAAACGTGTTTTGAGGTTGGCTATACTGAAGTTGTGTTAGACGAGATTGTGAATTTAGAGGAGAATGAAGACGCTTATCAGTATGAAATTTTGGATTATGATAATTCTTTCGATGTCATTGGTTATATGACAATCAAGTTTGAAGGAATTTTGGCGATGAAGCAGATGATTTTGACTCTGATGGCAACTAAAGGTTACACTTATAACCTCCAAAATATGTGGTGATTGTATTTGAATTCTGAAATTACAAAAATTTAGTAATTGTGTGTGCTTTATAAGGTTAAATATTGAAGTAATTTTGTGAGACAATAGGGAAGAAATAAAGGCTGCGTTTATAGGCGCCTCAGCTCTGCAGTCTATTTATAATGAAGGCGATAAATTACAATTTTTGCCTTATACACGGTTGATTCGCGATAAATCGAAAACACAGTAAACGTCATAGAAGAAATGATATATTTTCTCAGTTTTATCGCCTAATCTGCATATTATAAGTACAAACAGCACAAATTCCAATAAAATTAAAATCAGTAGCGCGCCAACACGCCAGTGGATAATCCACCGTTAAAGAAACAAGATTTACAACGCCACTATATATTTTAAAATAGACTAATTACTCGTTTATATCGTTAATCGTTTTAAATAATTAAAATTGCATGTCGGTTATATATTAATTCTTCAATCTTGATAAATTTTCTGCCACCTGAACGTTTTCTCGTGATTTATTACATTACGAGACGTGGTCGTTCTAATTCTCATTAATAACGCATAATAGCGCTTAATTATTTTCTAAAAGGAAATAAAACTTAATAAACATGTTCATTTGGTCAAATTCGGCCACGACACGAAATTCCACCCGTGTATAATCTCGAGTCCATTAATTTTTTGTTCTTTTATGAACGTTGATAAACGTTGAAAAATATCAAAAAACCACGAAAGGCTTTCACAAATACCCCAAAAGCTCGTAAACTAGCTTTATCGACTAAGCACTCTCGTAGTTGTGTAGATAACGGTTATGACAGGTGATCCTATCGCCACCAATTTCGCCACTCTGTCAAATAAATCTTCAAAAACGTCAAATCTAAATTTCAGTAATGGCATACTCAATATTTCAAGAAAATAAAATTATCAAAGTCGCCCCTGGGAAACTCTCGCGGTATATCAAAGACACAAATCTTGTTTCTAATACCGGGCGTACTTCAGTGACCTACTACCAAAATGAGCTTGCTATTCCAGCAAGGTTCAAAATGTACCTCCACCAAATTAAAATCTCTAGGTGTTGTCATGCATACATTAGGAGGTTCTTCCAAGGAGACATTTTTATTACGATAAAGTGGTCCATGTTCGAATTTGAAGAGTTCATAACTTCACCTGAAAAACTGGATCATAACAAAACGAAGTTTGATTTTACCATCAAATACGCACTGGAATTGGATGAAGACTTTGTGTACAGAATCAGCGAAACTCCTATCACATTTAAATTACACGCAGTGTGTGACGGTACTGAAATTTTTCTAAGTCAGACTCAATTTTTCGTTGATAATATTCTCGAAGTTGTGAATCATAAACAAAGCCAAAGATTGTTTTTCACCAGTATTGATGTAGATCCAAATGGTGAAAATATCGCCTATTTGGACGTTTGGTACAAATTTACTTGCAAACAAAAGACGTTGAGGAGTCTTTTCCCGACTACGAAAGTCAATACCAAGAAGAAAAGCATGACGAAAATAGCTGATCTTCTCAGTGATAAATTTTCAAAAAAGAGCCAAAATTTTGGCACAGTGCATGTGACAGACTCGGAATTTGACCATTTTGCTGATAGCGTTTTACTTGTTTTGAACCGAAATAAAGTGTTAAAGACCACACAATCTGATATCAACACTGAGCTTCAAGAGCGAGTCCGTTGGTTGCGTTTTGAAGCCAATTGGAAGCAAACTTTGCAAGAAAACGCTATTCTTCATGGAAAAAATCCAGAGGATGTTATTTGGCGACAATGGCGAGAGGAAGACACCGCTAATGTTAGACTCCGAACTTACGACGACTACACCCAGAAGACTTACGAACCAGAATTGACCATAACCATCGTAGATCTCTACTTTCTAGAAGGCTGTTCTGTGTTGAAGAACGACCAAATTCGGCAATTCTTCGTCGAGTACTCTTTTCTAGGGCAAGAAGGCCCCGAAATGGAAACTCCTTTCAGTGTGGCTAAAAAGCAAGCTGAAGAACGCATTGTTTTCAATTTCAGCAAAACGTTTCCTATTAACAAAGACTATAATCCCAAAAATTGCAAATTGTTGACTGATCTGATAAAAAAAGATGACATTATCAAGTTTACGGTTGTCAGTGAACCTCTTGAAACAGCTGATAAGCCGATACAAACCTGCACTGAAATTGGCTATGCTGAGGTTCCTTTCAGTGAATTGATTCAAGTCGAAGAAAATACGGATTCGTACGAATATGAAATTATTGACAGTAATAATACGATTGCCATCTTGGGGTTTATTACAATTAAGGTCAAAGGAATTTTAGCGATGAGGAAGATGGCTTTGGATTTTATGGCGCCGAAAGATTATAAGCTTTATGTGTAATATTTAATGAGGTCATAACATATTGAAGAGCAGTGAAAGTAATAAACGTAATGGTTACATAATTTATTCAAAAAGAGTTATTTGTGTAATAAAGGAAGAAAGTAATCTTTTTTCTTACTGAAAAAGCTGAGACCGAAGAAAATAAAGTTCTCACAGAAAAAAAAAACAGTTTCCTCTCAACACGCAATAAAGTGAAGCTTTATTATTATTATATTATAGTTTTGTTTTTACTTATTATTTTTACAAATCCTTTATTAGTATTTTATTTCTCTGGGAATATAATAAAAAATACCGATTTTTTCTTTTAATGTAAACTGGAATTGAATGTATTGAACTTTTTGAGTGTTTTTTGACACAAACAAACTCTTTGACACAAACTTATTATTTTTTACATAATACACACCGTTAATCCTCGGAATTGAAATAGTTGTTTATTCTCTTAATATATAAATAACTATTTCTTGTGTTCACATATATTTTTTTATACTAAACACTAAAGACAACTTCAGACAAAAAAGTTTGTAGGGTAGAAATTTACTGGGTGGAAAAAATTGTCTTCTTTCTTTTTTCTGAGTTCTTTTTTTTTGAGAAAAAAAAAACTTTTTGGGAAGACAAAATGTATTTACATATAATTTTTTACATTAAACACTAAAGACAACTTCAGACAAAAAGGTTTGTAAGGTAGAAATTTACTCTGTGGAAAAACTTTCTGGGAAGACAAAATAAATTTCTTGAAAATAAATTACGTCCTGCTATTCTATAGTTTTGAGAGAACAAAAGGTAACTTGCCGTTTAGTTCTTGATCCTGATCTCCATATTTTTGCAAGTTTAATTTTATAAAGGTTACTTTTTTTTGAAGATCGATTTCAAATTTAAATTATCGTACACCTCAATGTCTTATTTTCTGGAAAAAACAGTATCTTTTGTAACGTCTATTAAAACAATATATTTATTTTTTTGCTCTTTCAAGACTATTATTAACACAAATTTGTGGAAATTTCTTGTAATTTGTTATAATTTTCTGAGAATTCTGTCACGCAGAAGGGATTCCTTCTTCAGTGGAAAAGTTTCAGACATTTCAAGCAAAATGTTTGTTGCACAATGATATTTTTTATTTGTAGCGTGAATTTTTCTTTGAATTTAAATTTTTATTCCCATAAACCATCTAGTTAAAATTGCACTATCTACATTTACAGGATTAAAATAGTTGTTTATTCTCTTAATACATACCTAAGTAATTATTTTTTGTGTTTCAAAGATATTTTTTACACTAAACATTAAAGACAATTTCAGATAAAAAAGTTTTGTGAGGTAGAAATTACTCTGTGGGAAAAATTGTTTTCCTTCTTTTTCCAACTTTGTTTTTTTTTGAAAAAATAAAAAAGTAACTTTCTAAGAAGACAAAGTTATTTCTTTGGACATAAATTACATACTGTTATCCCATAGTTTTGAAGGAAGCAAAAGTAACTTCTCGTTTTTTCTTGTTCCTGATTTCCATATTCTTGTAAGTTTAATTGTATTTATAAGAAAAGTAACTCTTTTTTCCTAGATCTCAAATTTAAATTATCGTACACCTCAATGGGACTCATTTTCTGAAAAATTCTGTATCGTTTTTAAACGTTTGTTAAAACAATGAATTCATTTATTTGCTCTTTCAGGACTATTATTAACACAAATTTGTGGAAATTTCTTGTGATTAGTCATAATTTTCTGAGGATTTCTGCTACACTATTTCAGACATTTCAGGCAAAACGTCTGTTGCACAATGATATTTTTTATTTTTGGCGAAAATTTTTTCTTGAATTTAAATCTTCATTCCATATTGCTACCAAAGGTAACTTTTTCTTGTTTCTAATATTCTTGAAAGTTTAATTTGATAAAAAAGTCACTTTTTTCCAAAGTCTCTCAAATTCACACCTCAGTGTGACTCATTTTCTAAAAAAATCAATATCGTTTCTAAACATTCGTCGACAAAATGAATTTATTTGTTTGTTCTTTCAAGATTGTTATTATCACAAATTTGTGGAAATTGCTTGTGATTTGTCAGATTTCTGCTGCACAGAAAGAATTCCTTCTTCAGTGGGAATGTTTCAGACATTTCAGGCAAAGCGTCTGTTGCACAATGATATTCCCTTATTTATAGCGTGAATTTTTCTTGAATCGAAATCTTTATTCCCATAAATAACCATCTAGTTAAATATCCATCATTCGAAAGCGAGCGGGTATATAATTTGAAGCAGGTCGATCCAAAACGGTGATAGACGTTTTATAGGATGCAATTACAAAACATTAAGAGCTCGGGTAAACGTAGTATCGGCTACTATCGTAAACAACGTTGGATGTTATTTATGTTGATCGCATATTATTAATAAAAGTAAATCATCTGTTTCCTGATGGCCGCCCTCTGCGCGTATGGCAGGTGTCCTACGTCGTTAAGTCTCTCTTCCAGAGAGCCAACGGTCAGCATATGATGACCGCGCTCACAAACTAATCGAAAATTCCTACCCCGCGAGAAAAATCGATGTTTCTGTCACCGCTTTTCGGGTTTTACAAGCCGGGGGCGGTTAATATCTACAAGGTGTGCCTGAGTCACGTCTACAAGCCCACCCGACAGTCGTAAACCTTCCATCTAACGATGTTGATATGCTGATAACGCTGCATCTTTCCACTGGAAGTTAATTTAGTCGATTATGTGTTCTACCCTCGCCTTCGCCATTATTAGACGTTCACGCGAGACTTTTTCTATTCCGACAACATAAAATCGAGTATTTGTGAGACATTACGATTAAGATTCCGCCACGAACGGTCAATTAACAAAGACCAGAGACCGGATTAACGCGCTAAAGGGACACCAACCTGAAAATACCACTTTTTCACTTTTGACTCATCAATTCACACCAGTGGCGGCTCGTTAAGAGAGGCAAAGGAGGAAGTGCCTCCCAGGGGCGGATCCAGGAATTAATTTTTGGGGGGGGCTATCTAAAAATTTTTAGAATGATGAGGGTATACAGTGAGCGGCAAAATTATAGAGTAATCTTATTTATTAAAACTGAAAATATTTTGTTTTGGAAAAATGCTCGAACAAGTCAATTTTCTTTAATTTTTAACTTGATTTAAAATTCTATCTTTGTTTTTTATTGATATTCTTTCACTTTTTGGATATTTTTTTTTAAACTTTATGTAATACATAATACGTTGGTGCTGCCATTTCGACAATTAAAAAATCTATCGAATTCGCTAAAAAAATTAGGGGTTTTCATAAAAAAAATGTCGCTGCCGTCATTACCCAAAAACCAAAAAGTGTAGAAATTTAACAAAACAAGTTGAAAATTGTGTATAAGGTGTTTTAGCGAGTAGGTAAAGTTCATTATTCAAAGAGATATAAACCTAATTTAATTAGATACCTAAGATGTGGCCCAAAGAAAATTACAATTGATTTCTTTTTAAATTAGTAATACTAAGTAAGTATCGAGAGATCAAGATAATTTGTCCTTGTATCCGAAAACGTATGTCCTGTGCGTATGTCTGTGAAACGTCAAATAAAATGTCAAGTGGAAAGATAAAATCCCATGATCAAAAAGATAACTAAATATATGATTAACCTTAAAAAAAGAACGGTCTTATTATTATACGTCGGCGACTAATTCCAGCCCATTTTGCCGTTTTCAACTTGTCATTTTATTTCACGTGTCACGTGCAGTTAGTTCAAAAACAGACATACGTACAGTTGCGGAATTAAAAATTCGAACAATTCATATTTTTCTGTCACTTTAAAAAGTTTACTGTAATCATGACTGACATTTGACAATTAAACTTATTTTTATTTGTTGTTAAATTTGTTAATTAAACAATTTGTCTGTCTTAGGAAATTTATTAATTGAACTAAGTGTTATTAAATCATCGCTTTGATCTGCTGACTACCCGTTATTATGACACAAATCACTATTTTTGAAAGTAAATAAGTCAAAATGGCATAAATACGACAAGAGTAAAAAATGAGGTTAGTAATATAAAGGTTGTTTTAGAGTTTATATTATGAAAATGACAGTACTGCCCGAAATTTTAATTCTGCAACTGTACATTTTCAGATCCAAAAATGACTCGATTATAAATTATTTTGTTCTCTCGGTATATGTATGATTTGTATTAATAAGTGAATTTAAAAAGAATTCTAATGTTTTTATTTAAAAAACTTTAGGTCATAAGGTTTTTATTTTAAAATTTAAATATAAAAGAATTGAAGCTTTTGGTGGCAAATTTGAGGGGGGGGCCTGGCTCCCTGGGCCTCTCCCTTGGATCCGCCTCTGGTGCCTCCCCAGTGAAAATAGAATTTAAAAAATAAAATAATTTAAATTATTTTCACTATTTTTGAATCGTAAACTGCAATTTTTATATAATTTTTACCATAATATTTTTTTATTTGTTCAAATGTTGATTTTTTTGCTATAAATAATTGTGAACCAGTTTGCCATTAAATCTAGCACCATGATTTTCAGTTTCTATGGGGGAGGTAAAATTTACCTACCTCCCTATGAGGTTTTATACATTTTTATTGTAAATTTGACAGATGAAGGCGGTAATTGGCCAATTTTCTTTCTGAAATTAGGGTGGAAAAACTTACTATCTCTAAGGGTCATAGTCAAATTAATTATTAATATAGTTTGTAAATTCCTGGTATATTAAATATGAGTGGTTTTAACAGGAAGCAAAACACAAACAAAATTTTTTCGCCATTTTTAAGTCGTTGGTGAGGAAACATGATCTAAAACTGTGGTAAAAAAGGACACATTTAAAGTCAAGAATCAGTATCAGTAGCAAATTACATCTCCAGGATAAATAAAATATAGCCACAAATGTAGATTTGGCCCCGCAAATTGATATTAATAAATTTAATGAATCGTAAGGTCGTCAAGTATATGGCATATGTAGACACGTGTATTTCTTTTTTTTTATATAAAAAAATCACACAACTTTCCTTATCCTACTTATTTGGAAAACATCCTAATAACGACAATAATTTAACCTTTGCGTTAGTGTCACCTGTCGAATTACTCGTGAAATAGATTACATTTTACTGTTTAATATGGTAAATTTTATGATTCTAAATAATTTGTATCCCCATGAATTTACCGTAAAATTTTGCGGCCGAACGGTGCGATCGATTTTTACCAATTGTTTCGTGCTACGTCCCCTTGCTACAAGTAACATAAATACCAAATTTTAAGTTTCTAGTTCTTATCGTTCTCGAGATATGCTCTTTACAGACAGA